TGATCATTTATTTCTCTCCTTTCCTACTCCGACCCACCCCTCCCTCACTTTTCTCGATTCTCCCTGCTACCTGGACTGCATGCCACAAAGGAGGACAAAGTGGTTAGCATCCTTTTTTCTTTTGTTTATTTTCTGTTTCCTCTGTGTGCTGTGAATGTGACGTCTGTACTACTCGAAGGTAAAGGAAGGAAATGCTGGCTGCGTTTAGATCTGGAGCTGATTTCTATCCTGGAAATATGACGCAAAACTAAATAAGTTCAGTTTCTTACACATTGGTGTCATTTAATAAACAAGAAAACAGCAGTATCAGATGCAAGAGAGCAAGCTATTGGGTTGGAACGTAGCCAGTATTTGCACAAATCCGCTTGTGGATTACTGACTTAACTGAACAAAGGGAGTCTCTGAAAGTTCCTTTACTGTACCATCCAGGGTGGAGACACCTGGAACTGTTGTCTCCTCAGCGGTTACTCTCTCCGTATAAATCCTGACTAACTCTGTTTCCATTGTCTGTCTCCTCCCCCTGCGAAGTGTCTCATAGTGAAGGACAGGGTAAGACTTGCTGGACAATCCATGGGTTTTGCTGCATGGGTCACAACTATTGTCCCCTCCTCCCACACACGGGTCTGTGCTCATTCGCAGTTTCAGAAGAGGATTTCAGACCCGCCATCGGTTTTAAGAGTTCCTAGAGGAGCTGGCTGGCGACCCCGTATTAGCACTCTAATTCTGAGAATGAACGCAGACCCTGAAAAGTAACTGACAGGCAGAGCGAGCATGAGCCATGACATAGGCTGTCTGCAGGGGCGTCTGAGCCATCCCGACCCCTCTTCCTATGGCTGTAGGCATGGCTGTGCTGTGAAGGGGAGGAATAAATATTTATTTAAACAAAAAGGGGGTCTGGGAGATTGGCATTTCAACTGGCATGCATATAAGAATGCGAGAAAGACCTTTTATCTGCATAATGAATGCACACTCATGCCTGTGCATGCTTTCCCTGCCTGTGTGTTTGAGACCAGACCAGCCTTGCCATGGGGAGACGGGAAGGGCCCAGGTATATTTATATATATATTATATATGTGTATGTTCCAGTTTGTCCTCTTACCACTTCCTGTTAATGCTTGGTCACTGCAAACTGCTGCCAAAGTGTTGTTACTGCCGAGAATTTCAGAAAGTCAAAGTTTCAGTTTCAGTTTTTTGATGTTGCACCTTCCTCATATAGAACTGAAGAGGATTCATTGTTTTACAGTTTAAAGCCTGAATAGAAGTCAAGAGAGGTGACCCCAACAGCTGCGGAAATAGGACTATAAATCATAAATCTTATGGCGCTTAAAAATGGCCAGTCTTCTTGAGCACCTCTGGGCTGTAGAAGCGCAGCAGAAACAGCCATCTGTCTGCAGGACATGCTACACGATACCTATGACTATTATGTTTGTGATTATAGTCTGAAACTTGAAATAAAAAGGCAGGATGACTTCGTTTTAAACAGTCCCCAGGTTGATACGGAAACCACAGCGAGCTCTGCAGTGTGATAAGAAG